ATAGGTGCAGTGTGAGCAAGAGTGAAATCCCGAGAATGGAATGGAGTATGTTGGTGGTCACCCCTCCCTCACTGGGACATAATGAATCCATAAGCGGGGATTGGTTTTGGCTCACGGTGGAGAGGGTTCAGTCCATAGTTATGGCCTGCAGCTTAGGTTTTGTGGCGAGACAGTAGGTGAGGAAGTGGCAGGGGACGCTGCGCCTCCCTGTGGCTGGGAAGCAGAGTGAGAGGAGGTATCCAGGCCCATTGACCCTCCCAGCATCCTCCAGTAACCCAGCTCCCTCCACGAGGCCCCACCTCCTTAGAGTTCCTCAGCTTCCTGCAGTGTCACAGACTTGAGACCAAGCCTTTCCTACGGAGGCCTATGGGGAATGCATCAGATCCAGATTAACACAGGAGAACCTGGAAAACAGTGGACCCAACCTTGGAAAGTGCCTGCTTACGGATGCAAGGTAAAGAGAAACAAGAGCTTGAATGTGTTCCATACTGGGGGAGGAGTCCCCAGCAATGGGTGTCCCAGTGTGAGGGAGAAGATGCCTTGTGAATGGCAGGTGAAGTGTACTGCTCATGAGAGGTCCATTGTAAGAGCTCACTCATCACAACTTCAGGAAGTGGTTAAGGGGTTAATTAGGAGTGATTGAAGCCACAGATTGATGGGTTTTACATTAGACACATATAAGCCAGGGATGGTGGTGTACACCTGTGACCTCACTGGTTGGGAGACTGATGCAGCAGGATTGCTGTAACTTTGAGGCCAGTCTGGGCTACATAGTGAGTTCAAGGTCATGCTGAACTACATAAAGAGACCCTGCCTCAAAAAAAAACCAAAATAAAGTAAGATTTGATATGCAAGATCCAGTCTGATATGGCACGGGCAAAATGGACAAATGCAAATAAGGCAGGGATTCATTTAAAATGTAGGCAAGTTAAATACGTACTCGGTAATGAAGTAGAAGGAGAATGAAGGGACAGATGCTTAGTTGACTACATGTCTATGTTCTTCATAGGCTTTGATCTGATTTACAGTATTTTTCACGTGTTATTTCTCATTTATGATGCTGAGATGGTAGCAGCAAATGCATGTCAGCATGCTGAAGAACCTGATACCCTGTCTCTTCTGTCACACGTTGCATCACTGTTTTGCCACGGAGGTCGTACTTTGTGGGACAACACATTACCTTCCTCCTCCAGTAAGACCACGCCTGAACATAACTCACAGGAGCCAGATGCCCTGCTGAATGCTGAGCCCTTGCTGCTTCATTGAAAGACTAGGGTAGAAACCCGCATGTCAGCTTCAGGCCTGTTTCTCCCAGGTGACAGTGCAGGTCTAATGTAAAGATGACACACAGTGGAAGTGGGTTGGGAGCGCACTTTAGCCACTTGTGCTTCTCTGCAAACAGCACATGGGCACCGCATCCAGGACTCAGCAAAGGACAAACCGATTGCAAGTCGTGTCTCATTCAGCAAAGCCCAGGTGTGAGCTTCTCTTGTCCTGTGTGCGTGGCCCTCACGGTCCCTGTGATCCAGACATGGCTCACAGTAGGACTCTTTCTTTTCTCTACCAACAGTCTTGCTTAGAAACACAGCTGATACCACAGCTTTAGCAGGTTTCCAGGGAAGCAGTGCTGGAAGGTTACCTGGAGGTCATTTTTAATATGGAAAAAGATAGAGGTTCTGTTAATCCTTTAGTTTGATAACAAACTACAGTATAGAGAAAACTCACAGAATACTGGCTGTAGGATCTCTGCAGTTGAGTTTATTAGAACCAGCATTTGTTTTCGTTGACTCAGAACATCTGGGTTTACATGCAAGTGTTAGTGCATCTCAACAGATTCCTGAGAGTAGTTGTGCTTTGCAGTTTTTACATGAAAAGATTCTGGCAGATACTAAGTTTGCTTGTCTCAGTTCTCAGCAGAGCATCTTTGAGGTGGAGGTACCATCCAGAGGAGGGAGCAGAAATTGACACATGCTGTGCATTGAAAATAAGGCACCTATGAGTAGAGGTTTCGGATAAGCCACCAGCATAGGAGAGTACCCTAAAGAGAAGGGCCTCAGGCACACGCACCCAGGGAAGCTTTCACTAACTTGATCTTAAACTTGGCATTATTCAGAAAGACGTGCCTGTCATTCCTGTTTCTGCAGTGAACAGCTCATTGTAAGAGAATGTTTAACACAAAGTCTTTTCAAACGACTATGCAGGGATATTTCATGGAAAACTCTTAATTTTATTTCTTAATCAATAATAGACACACACAAGCGCCAGCTTTTCTGGCATTATATTTTAAAACATATATGCCCACTTCTGTGTGTGTTCCTAGTCATCTGATAATTCAGATGCCTCACTGGACCATTTGTGTATGAAGCATTTTAGTCCTGCGTACCTGTAGCCATTAGGGTCACTGGAGTGAAGAGAGAAATCCAGCTCCTGGCCTTACAAATTTAAATTCAGTATCGTATGATGGTTGGAAATTACAGAGGATCTTTACAGTTGTAAATATAAATTTTCAATTTCAAAGTGTTTTATCCATATATTTTGAGCTCTATATTCTCGTTTCAGTAGCTTTTTAAACAAGAGCTTTGACTTGAAAACTAAGTTACCTTGTCTGATTATCCAAGTGGAAGAGCACTTCTTACTCTGTTGAAAAGAACATCACTCAGACAGGAAGTAGGTGATAAATAAATACAAAGTTACTAGGCAAAGACTTAGGATAGTGTGATGTTTATGTGCTTTTCCTACTGTATCACCAAATGATGTTGGAGTTACTCATCTTTGACACTTCTGATTGGCTTAACTGGAAGGAAAGTATGATTTCAATATTTCCAATAAAGAAATATCTTAAAACATTATCTTACCCGATGTTGCAGTGCTGCTATTGCGTTTGTACATGTGCACACAAATGCATGAATAATCACAAACCTTTTCCTCCTAATCATACACCGAAGTTGATGATGTTATTTTGGTATATGAAGTTAATGCCACTTCTCATATTTTTCTGACACAACTTTTAGACACAAACCAAAATCATTCAGATACTATTTACATTTTAAACAACAGCAACAACAAAACAAGGAACGTTAGATGGGAAGTCTGGGTGACCAGAAACTTTGAGACTTCGCTAGAAAGGCATAAGTTGTTAGCAGATGGCAATGGCGGATAATAAAACGTTAAATCATTCAGCACAATAGCGTTATTCTTTGGTTCCTGTATTGTAATGCCTTTAATTTAATTTTCACCAGATTTAATTTTCCTTTTAAGCCTGCATTTTTACTTTGAACTCTGCTTGCCTTTGTCTAGAGAGCTGATAGTGTCCCTGCAGTAACCCTTACTGCCCCTGGATGGCAGTGTTGATTTCTCGGCTGTGGTTTCTCTTTAGACGTTTCATTTGAATTCATTTGAATAAGAATTCAAATGTGAAAGTCTGTGTTTTGTGAAGGAACAGCAAAAAGTCCAATTTATTAAATCATTAAGTCATTAATATTATTTATGAACGTTAGAATACCTTCCTTGTGGAAGTTCTGTTAGTGTGTAAAGGAAACTTAAAAATTTTAGAAATAAGCATACATAGATGAATAGTACATAAAAAACTTGTGCACTGTTTCAAGTTCTTTTGACATTTTAAGACAACAGCCATAAACTTTGATAAATGTAAAATTGTCTTTGATACCTTTTCTTATTTTCTTTGTGTCAGTTATATGTTGTAATCTTTTGAAATGTGTGAGTAGTTCATTTTGCTTCATGTATTTCAGAGTTCTGTGCATTCTCACTTCTCCCTCAAGTACCTTGTCATTACATCACAGCAGCGTGTCACACTTGTGTCCAAGTATCTTATCGTTACATCACAGCAGTCTGGCACACTTGTATCCAGGTATCTTATCATTACATCACAGCAATTGGTGTCACACTCATCCCCAAGTGTCTTATTACATCTCAGCAATCTGTCACACTCATCCCCAAGTATCTTATATCACAGCAATCTGTGTTACGCTCATCCCCAGGTACCTTATCATTGCATCCCAGCAGTCTGTCACACTTGTATCCAGGTATCTTATCATTACATCACAGCAGTCTGTGTCACACTCATCTCCCAAGTATTGCTATCATTATGCCTTACCAGTCTGGTCAGACTTATCCTGAAGTATTATTTATCACTACATCATAGCAATCTGTGCTGACCCCATGGTGTAAAAACCTTAGCAGGGCTTATGTGAAATATACTGAATAGCTCAGGATGCCAGCAATCTGAAATGTACTTCAAGTTGGATGTGAAAAGCAAATCACTGTATTTAACTTTTTCTTAAAGATAATGTAATTTTGGAATCTATTGATTAAATGAATTATTTAAGTTTATGAAAATGTCAGGGAGGTATTTTTATTTATTTTTTTGTCCATTTTTTTTCCCCCCCGGTACCGGGAATCGAACTCATGACCTTGTGCTTGCCAGGCAGGCGCTGTGCTGCTGAACTAAATCCCCAGCCCCTGTCCATTTTGGTCAGTCATAATTTTTTCTATCATATGGAAAAGGAAATTGAAAATAAATTCTATTCAGTTGCTCTGGCTAGATTAGAATTTATTAGCATGGGTCAGCGGTAGATGGACCATGAGCTTTGGAATTTCATCTCTTTGCCTCCTAACTCTTCTCCCTGGGATAATGGCAAATCCACGTGGGCCCTTGTGTCGCTGTCTCTACATAGTATAATCGGAGTGCCGTCAGCGTATTTTCCTGTTAGATCACTGGGAATGCCTGAATGAAGGTGCTTTGCAGGAAATAAGCACTTTTAGAAACATGAGTGAATTCAAGGTATCTTTATATTTCATGAACATGGCGTGGTAGGAGTACAGTAGACAGAGGGCTACTGAGAATAGAAGGTGACGAAGTTAAGCAACATTTCATGGGTAGAGTGATGCAGGTGTCCCAAGGGTACTGAGTTTCGTACATCATGTGCCTTACTTTAACAATACTAAGCATATAATTTCTGGTCTTCTCTGTCTTTCTCTAGGGTACTTACGGAGAGCTATCATGGAAAAGTCCTGGATGCTGTGGAGCGTCATTGAACGATGGCTAATTGCCTTGGCATCGTGGTCTTGGGCTCTCTGTCGTATTTCTCTTTTACCGTTAATAGTAACTTTTCATCTTTATGGCGGCATTCTTTTGCTTTTGTTGATATTCATATCAATAGCAGGTATTCTCTATAAATTTCAGGATGTTTTGCTTTATTTTCCAGAGCAGCCATCCTCCTCACGCCTTTATGTTCCTATGCCCACTGGCATTCCACATGAAAACATTTTCATCAGAACCAAAGATGGAGTACGTCTGAATCTTATTTTGATAAGATACACTGGAGACAGTTCACCCTATTCCCCAACTATAATTTATTTTCATGGGAATGCGGGTAACATAGGTCACAGGTTACCAAATGCATTGCTTATGTTGGTTAACCTCAAAGTTAATCTTTTGCTGGTGGATTATCGCGGATATGGAAAAAGTGAAGGAGAAGCGAGTGAAGAAGGACTCTATTTAGATTCTGAAGCTGTGCTAGACTATGTGATGACTAGACCTGACATTGATAAAACGAAAATTTTTCTTTTTGGCCGTTCCTTGGGAGGAGCAGTGGCTGTTCATTTGGCTTCTGAAAATTCACATAGGATTTCAGCCATTATGGTGGAGAACACATTTTTAAGTATACCACATATGGCCAGCACTTTATTTTCCTTCTTTCCAATGCGTTACCTTCCTTTATGGTGCTACAAGAATAAATTTTTGTCCTACAGAAAAATCTCTCAGTGCAGAATGCCTTCTCTTTTCATCTCCGGACTTTCTGACCAGTTAATCCCACCAGTAATGATGAAGCAGCTATATGAGCTCTCCCCCTCTCGGACTAAGAGATTAGCTATTTTTCCAGATGGAACTCATAATGACACATGGCAGTGCCAAGGCTATTTCACTGCACTTGAACAGTTCATCAAAGAAGTCATCAAGAGTCATTCTCCTGAAGAAATGACGAAAACGTCATCCAGTGTAACGATTATATAGTATCTCCCTTTTTGACTAATGCATTGTATTTTAATTTGTGCAGAATGATAAAGAATGTTCCTTTCTAGAAGTGCGTTATGTCTTATTTGTCTGAAAGTGACATTAAACTTTGAAAGGACCTCAGTGCTCCTTTATGATGATCCAGATCATTTTTTACATTTCAAAAACTGTAATTCTTGGGATGATTTCACACATTTTCATCAGAACTTTGAATGTGGTTATGTATCCATAATTTTAGTTTAATATGTCAGTGTAATAGAAATTACTCAAAAGTTTCTTGTTGGTTAAGTGGTATAATCTGTTACACTTAGGTTACTAGCTGAACGGAAACAAGAAACCTTTGGATGTAATTCCTTTAGTAAATATTGGGACAATCATGGTAAGCAAACTTACTTCTGTAACTGTATTTTTCACCTTAAAAGTTAAAATGAAATGCATGATGGTATTTTATTCCTTGACTTATGCAATGCAACATTTTTAATGTAAATAGCACCGGTCATAGACCAATGTATATGGGTACCTGGGTTATATCTATTTTTATGTAAACTCTCTCTTGTTTTTGGCAGGAAGTGAAATGAAGCCTGTGTGCAGGTTGCCATTGAATTTTGCTCTGGTGAATACTGAGATCCAGCTTTTTCTTACAAATAAATGGGACCTTGTTTTCAAGTATAAATGTACCATGTTTTTGTGAGATACACTCTGGATCATGCCAGGTAGAAACAGAAACTTAGAATTTTACTGCAGCTTTCTGTGCACATTTGAACTTTTTAATATTTGTAATTTTGATGGCAAAGAGAATTTTAGCTTCTGTCAATTTTGTAAGTCTGCAGCTGAACCACTAATAGTGGTCATAGTGAAAATTAGAACTTGCTTAAGACTTAAGTTAGGAAGACTTATTTATGATTGTGCACAATATTTTAGTAATTCTCACATTTGACTTTTAAGTCCCAGTACATTGGCTACACCTAACCCACCAAAGGCCAAGATAACATTTATTGGGCGTTTTGAAGATAAGTAAAAATTGAAAAACCAAAACAAGCAATGTGCTTAGCTTAATGTTCCATTTGCTGTGAAATAGAACTGCATCAAAAGACAGCTTTAGAAAGTGATCTATTTTTATGTTCGAATTTTTTCTGTGTGGGATTGGAGGAAGTCTAGAGCGTTTTGATACAACTTACGACCGCATTTAATAGTTAAATGGCTGTAGGTGGGAAGTAGTATTTAGGTGCATAGGAAAGTAAGAAAAATCTTAGAGAAAGAAGTCTCTAAAACCTTGCAAGATTTAGCTGAATAAAACATGAACCACAGGGTAGAATTGTGCCAAGTTGTTTCAAGCAGTCTTCAAAACCTAGATGTAACTGAGGTCTGTGCATTATGATGTCAGCTCTAGCATAGGATATTTTTAATATTTTCGCTATATTTATTGGCTTTCGGCAAGCAGCTAAAGCAGAGAAATGAGTCAATCTTGACTTTAATATTATTTCTGTGGAGATAGGGCTAGAAATACTTTTGCCAAATAACATCTTTATCATTCACTTTATGCCAATATTTAGAAAAAAATAAATTATAGCCAATGTTGTTTCTAAAGAATAATGGTTTTCTATAAATTATTAATTGTAAAAAGTCTTGCTTTTTAAAAAGAGTTGGTAACGCGTATCATGGAAGGTGTATTTTTATGTATAAATTCACAATGATTAAAGGCTACTTTTTATCCTGTCAATCATTGCTATGTAGAATGACTGGTAAATAATAATGTATTAAAAAAGTAGTACAACAAAGTGTATAGTTAGACTTGAGCTTTCAGCGCACACCTACTTGTGTCACTTTGTAAAGTTTACAGTACTGTTACGTTTTCATGTGACCCTTCAGTCTCCAGCACTATGGAAGAGTTTATCAGCTTTAGTTGTGAACATGCTGAGGAAGTATGTACTAGTACTTTTCATCATTGTTACTTTATGCTGCGTTTTTCTTCTTTCTTTCTTTCTTTTTTTGATACTTGAGGTTTATGATTCACCCCCACCCCATTTTTAGGCCAGAACTTGAGAAGTTTTAGAGCACTGTATATGCCATCCTCTGTCCTCATTCTCATCTTAGTGAACCTTTCTTTCTGGAGCAAGGGACAGAGGCTCTGTTTAGGGTCACAGGATGTCTGCCTTTTACTGTCTTGTGTCTGAGACTTTCCTGCGACAGGAGGGGCTGGAAATAAGGTCCTACTTCCAGGGGCCTTAGAACCTGGAGCGTAGAGTTTGCAAACATTTCTGATTTGTGGGCTGGAGCACTTGCTCCTGGTAAAGCGTGGCTGTATGGCTGGCACCACCACTCCAGCCCATCTCTAGTGGGAGGGGAGTGTGTCCATGTCGATTGCTGATTTGTAGCCCGTTTATTCAAAAGCAACTAGAGACATTCCTCAGTGAATTTTGAGTTGTTACTATAAACTTAGAAATACTAAAATCTCAAATATTACAAGGTAAACTTGAGAAAAAAAAAATCCAGAGCTCCATTATTTTAAAGACAGTTACAGGGGTTGGAGGGAATTGATTTTTTAAAAAAGGAGCTAAAAAGCATACTACCAACTAAGGAAGAAAATAATTTGTGACCAGTAAAGCAGTACTATAACATAGAAACAGCTAGACGAGAAATATAACACAGTCCTTAGAGGAGTAATTAACGAATGAAAGTGCTGGAAAAAAATTTCCAAACAACTTCTAAATACAAACCCTTTCTAACAAAGGAAGTGACTGGGCGCCCGCCTTACAGTTTCGTAGGCTGGGAACTTGGTAGGTTTTTAAGTACTGCTCCGAGTTTGTCCCAGAGAAACTTCAGTTTATGGTGAACTGTCGCTCCACAGCTCAGCTGCGTGGTAATGTTTTGCCGGAGTAAGTAGGGTGCAATACTTACTTTTGAGCATTCCTACCACGTGATGTTTATTTGCTTCTCATTTTTAAGATTTGGCTTGGGTGAAGTCGGTTTGGTGGATTTAAGAATGAAGGCCATATTCCGTCAATTTCATGTGAATTGTCTTGCAAGCCGGCACAGCCCAGTGGTCCTTACAGCTTGTGACTCCGCTCCCTCCTGAGGTTGGGAGTAAATCTGTGAACTTTGTGGAAGGGTGTCACGGGAGTCACTTTTTCATTTTGGTCATGCTTGAGAGCTGAAGTCATCCATCTTCCTCTATCTCTTTTCCTGTTGTGTTTGGTAATTCTGGAAAAACAACTGTGAAAGGAAAAATTAGTTATAAATAGCTGTTTTGGATTATTCACTTAGATTTGTGTATTTTCATATTACTCAGGTAAAGTTGGAAATGACAGAGCACAGACATCTATTTTTTAAATTGAGAGAGTAGAAAATGGAAAGTACTTCTGTTTATTCTTCCTACCTGTGCCACACATCACTTTAGCTAGTCAGAAATAATACCTTTGTATGGCGAAATAAATACTCATCCTAATTCTAGTGGATACAGTTTTGCCGAGTGGCACAAATATACCTCCATTTATATTTTATATCTTAAAAATAGTTTAAAAACAGGACTGTATAAGCGACACTTCTTTTTAGAGAGAAAGTGCCATATATACATATGTAACGGGTGTATGTTGAACATAATTTACAGTGGAATTTCTGTTGGTACACCGTATACTGAAAATTCACATTGTTTTCAACATACTGAAGTACATTCAGGATAAAGTAGGTTGATCCAACTTCATAATGTAAATCACTTGTTATTTGCCATATTTTATTTGAAATAGTAACATTTTATATCTCAGATTTGAATGTCATCGTACATTGTGTGCTAACCATGGCAAGCAAACATTTACATTTGTTTTTTCTATAAATTTCTTTTAAAATATACTTTCTATTTTCTGTACTGACATATGCAATAAATTGGTACATTAAAAGTTTGATTAATGTCAAGATAGTTTGTATTCAGTCTTTTAAAAATTTTTCTGTTATTGTGATATCATAAGACATTAAAGTTTCTTCTAATGGTTAAATAAAATTCTTGAGTTTTCACTGAAGTGAATTTTCTATTAATGGTATATATAAAAAGTGGAAGTTAGATTGTATATCCTTCACCAAGAATATTATCTTGCATTTAATACTAGCTATTATCAAAAAGATTTTCTATATCTAAAACGGCTAGTGACTACACCCAGTGTATTTCTTTATTTGAATGTAAGTGTGAGTAGATTTAACTGTTACAGTCATGTTGCCCTCAGATTTTGTAAAGTGCTTTTTCAAAAAATTCTGATTTTTTTCCCCTCTTCTATATATGTTTTATTAATGGCTTGTGTTAGACTGATTTGGCCCTTTAGGGCTGTACTCTTTGGCCGGCCGCAAGTGGTCCAGAGGTGGGAAGGAGTGCTCCTCAAGCAGACCTTCTTTGTTTGGGTAGGATTAGTGGGAAGGAGCAGCTCTCATGTGCTCCTCTGAAGCCCAACAACCTGAGCCCAAGGGGAAGTAGGTTTTAAGTCACTATTTTCAAAAGGTTTTCTCTTCATCTTCTCATTTCACTCTCCTTCTCTTCCTTTCCATTTTGCTACTTCCTAAAAACTAAACAAAGATGTGGTTAGAGAATATAACTTGGGTCTTACTGGGCAAAGGAGGTGGAGGAGAGGCTTTGTGAAATCCTACAGACCCAGGGCCCAGAATTGTGGAAGGTGTTGATGTCATTGAGTCCTCATCAGCAACCTTGGATTAACCTGTGATCCCATTTCATAAGAACCAGCGCCAGTCATGCACCCAGGGTCACCCTGAAGGAAGCTAGATTTTCACCGGGACCTCTCATTCTTAACCATTCATTTGCTCATTCTTTCAGTAAAACAGTTGGGAAGTTTTTCTTCATGTTGGAGTAGATTTGAAATGTTGAAATGGAATTGAAAATGGACCAGTTCGGAGTCACTCCCAAGGAATTGCTCTGGACAGGCGGTGAGAAGTATCGTGCAGTTAATGACATTGCCTTCAGGGTAGTTAAATGTGTATCCCTGTGGGAAAATCTAGATGTTACCCTCATAAAGCTTGTCCTCTCTCCTTAACTTCATAAATAACCATGGCGCAGAAAATCTTGGATGAAACTAACCTTTCTTTTCCCAGTTCAGATTTAGGTCTCAGTAGATTAAAGTGGGACTTCTGTCCAGAGGGTCTTTGACATGTGGCTGAGTTCAAGGCTTCTATGCCGTAACTGCAAGCTTCCGAACGTGGGACACATTGAAGTGGGAGGGGTGGACAAAGGGAGAAGTATTTGAACGTCTTGGGAAGTGTTAAATACACTTTGCTCTTCTATGCACTGTCTCATACCTGGTGCTCCAGCTTGAGGCTGAATGCTTTCTCATCTCTCCCGGATTCTGTCTCTGATGCATTCTTGGGAGCTCTAAGCAACACTTTCCTCTCCTTGCTGAATATCCATTGTCCTTGATACTTGGTTGTATTCAGTTTAGTTCTTCATTACACACTCTTATTTTCCTTTTGTGTATCTTACTCCTGCAACAAGCCAAGCTTTGATGACAGTCATGTGATTCTTTTCTATCTTGCATAGCACCTAGCACAGTGCTGAGCACCTCATACTCATCAACTGTGAAGTTGGTCCACTTTCTCCCCTTTAAGGAGAAATAAAGACAATTTCTATATTTAAGGTAATTACTATATATTTGCTTAGTTACAACTAAGGTAAGATTCGCACCTACACCTACATCAGTCTGTAAGGTAGATGCATACAGATCCAAAATCAGTGAAATAGCAATGTAGGGAGTTAAGTCACTTCAGAATATAAAAGGAGTGATGGATCATTTTGCAGATCATGTCACTGGAGGAAGGTATAAGCTGAGGAAAGTCTGGAGCAGAGACGCTCTATATGGACTGGACAAGATCAGTGGCAATCGGGAAGCCAAGCAGTAGCCAGTAGAATGGGTGTTTAATAAGATCAAAAGAATGATAAAGTCAGGAGGCAGATCAGGGGAAGACCAAAACCTCGTTCTAGGCCATCGTAATTGTGTCCCAGCTTTGATCTCGTCTATGCTCTTTTTAACCCCATACCTGTAGCTACCCTTTAAAACAGATCAGCAGCATAATCATCATCATTAATTTTAAAATGAGGGGCCAGAGACGCTAGAATTAATGTAACGCATAGCATTTTCCTTGGTCTTCCTTTCCAGGGAGTCTGTCTTGGACTATGAGTTTAGGACTCCTGTATGCAAAGAGCATGCTGCTGCCAACACAGGTCAGACTGGACTGGACTGGACTAGGAGGGATGGGGGAAGGAGGGACGCATAAAATCTTTAGAGACAGACAGCATGAAAACTAAATACAGCCTTAACCACCTCAAGTGGGATGGCATTCGGCAGTGGGGTGCTTGGGATGACAGGATTAGTGTCCTCGGAAAGGAGGAAAGCTAGCTGCATGAAGACACAAAGACACTGCAGCCGCCTAAAACCAGGAAGCAGTGCCTGCTGGCACCTTGATGTTGGACTTTCCACCATCCACAACTGTGAGAAATAAATTTCTGTTGTTCTAGCCACAGAGTCCATTTTAAATTTTGTTACAATAGCCCAAATAGAACAAGAAACAAATAGGTAATTTTTCTTTCAAAGTGAACCTGCAGATGAATAAAAATGAATTGCCTTTTAAAATTCATCCCTGCATCCCTCCCAGCGTATTACTGTTTCTCACCATTATTTGAGTATCTCGTACTTAAGCCGTTAGTTACAGACGGATGGACACCAAGGGTACAGTTTCACTCACTAGATCAGGGGTGGTGAACCTTTTAGAGCTTTCAATGATAAACTCACCACAGTTGGTCTAGAGTACAAATTTTATGAATGTGAGAACAATTCTTTCTCCTCAGTGGTAAGACCAGTGTTGGTGGACACATCACTGGCATTGAGTAAACATTTAATAAGGAAAAAGTCATGCTATATAGTAAGTGCTCCACTATACGAAGATAGACGTGGGAAACACTCCAGGAAGGTCCTCAACCCTCATGAGTCTGTGGAGTCTGTTTTTGTATCACTGTGCCGAAAGCACAGAAAGGGTGCAGTATGCAGGTCACGGTTAAAGTAGCTATTAAAGTTGAGATGATCATAAAGTATAAATGATGGCTATACTTATTTAAACAATCATAATTTAAACACTTTAGTAATTAACCATTAAAGCTTAAGTCATGGCGTATTTTATTCACTATAATACCAGATAGTTGGGGTAGGTAGCTAATGTTTTTTTCTTTCGTGTTGAAATTTTTTTGCAGATAATTCAGGCTTTTTCATACTCAAATTTATTTCCCATTTAGTATAGATATATAGCATATTGTTATTATTTGTGTCCTATTTTCTAAGGGGAGTAACTAATTAAAATATAAGCCATTTGTGTTCTAATAGTACATTTCATTTCCCTTGTCAGAATAATTGATTCTTGGAGTCTGAAATTCAAGAAAACCTATCACTGAATAATTCATTGCCCTTTATTTCTCATTTGTGTGAATAAAACTGGAAGAAGAAAAAGGCAGAAGACAAACTTAAGGATATCTTTGTAAGAAAGTCATTTTAGCAAAGTGTGTGCTACCAAGAGACAGAAAAAAATAAATTCAGGGAATAGGAATACTGGAACATGAGAAAAGTACACACTAGATTAAAATGTGGCTCTAAAGTACTTTTTTACCTTTAAAATTAAATATCCTGTTGCATCTTGTTCACTTTCTTCTGAATCTCTTGCTTTCCTTCTGGAGGTATCAGAACTTCCTCAGTCCTGCCCTTCTTTATTTTCTACTCTGCCCACTTTCATTCTCCTGTGTCTTTCATTCTCCTGTGCTTGTTTTATGCAATCATGAATTTACCGAAAAATTGGAGGTTCATTACAAAGAACTTAAAAATTTATTCTGCAAATAAGTTCCCAAGCAAGTATACTCTTCTCTGTGAAAATTTCAGGTGTACATTTTCTGCAAGCATTCTCCCCAAGAACCCACGATGCAGTACAATCATTAAAATCAAGAGGTAAACAGATGCGTGATTACCCCTGAATCCTTGTGTATCTTTCAGATCTGCCCAGTTACCTCAGTAATGTCCTTCACAGCCAAACTGAATAGTTTTAAACCACATGTTGCGTTTAGTTGACAGTTCTCTTCAGTTTCTGTTCGGCTGAACAGTGGCTTCAGAGAGTACGGTCTAACCCTGGAAAGCTGCTGCTTATAAAGAATGGGTATTTCCAGACATAATTAGAGTGAAACTCTTGGGAAGACTGTCCTAGGGTATCTAGGTAAAATCACAGGTGTTGAATGTGAAGCAGAGGGAGGATTAATATACTCAAAGAGAGGGGTATGACAGTAGAAGCAGAGATGGTAGCGGTGCGACCACAAACCAAGGAAGGCAAATGATAGCAGCAGCCCTCACCGGGGTGGACAGATTCTCTCCACCTGCTCACATCCAGAATTGTCAGAGAATAAATAACTGTTGCAGTTCCCCAAGGTTGTGGTAATTTTTTACAGCTTTCACCGGCAACTGATCCTTTTTTTGATACAGGGAAAGAGGGTGTTGCTGTAACAAACACCTAAAACTGGAGAAGTTGCTTTGGGATTGGATAAGTAGAAGCTGGAAGAATTTTGATAAGTAGATCACAGAAAGTTTAGATTACTTTCTGACAAGACTGTTCATAGAACTGTAATCATAAATGTGGTTCTGTTAAGGATTCAAAAGCAAGGAGGATGAAAGAGAAAGCCTGTATCAACCTGACAATTTAGAGAGCTGTCTAGGCCTAGAGTTGCTCCGATGACATTACATGGTCCCTTTGATTCGAGTATCACCGGACTCTGCCACAGGGCTTATGCCTTGCAGCTGTAATATAAAGGAAGGCACATGGAGCATTACTTTATCTTAGATCATCAATAAGTATGTATTACAAATCAGGTGCATCTGAAATTAAAGCACCTTCAACCTAGTCTGTTATGTCAATTACAGAATTTGAAATTTAAGAATTTGTATTGAGAAAGCCATTGTAAGTATTTTTACCCGTCTT